AATTTTTTTTATTCGTGAATATATTGTCTCTTATTAAACAGTATTATTACTTGATATAATAATTCGTTTTACAGTCATGAAAATTTTTTTCCAGTTTTTGTAATTTTTAACTTGTGTCCCACGTCCGATTTTAAGAATTACAGACAAACTTATAAAATTATGTAGCAACTTTCGCGTTGAAAAGAATCAAACTCCATCGTTTCCATGTCATCGTTTCAACAGGCCCAGGGACATTTGATGAATGTGACCAAAGCACTGAACGAACTGGAGGAACAAACTCGTCAAAAGAACACCCTTCGAGCTTGGATAAATCAACAAAGAGCTCTGTGCGCCGAGTGGAAGTCTCGGCCAGCGAAATTAAGATCCGAGGCCGCGCATGCCGAGTTACAAGCAATGAACGACTTGCTTGCAAACGTTGGAGAACGTCGAACTTACGCATTAACCGAACTGTCGCTTCACGAGGACGATCAAGATATCGAAGAGGGATTGAACAAACTGGAGGCAGAGTTGACGGACGCTATCGCGGGCAAACAAGCTGCTCAAGACTTGATACAAAGATACAGAACGCAGGTGCAGAATATTCAGTCGTGGTTGGATGCTCTGTCGAAGAAGGTTGACATTATCGAGAAAGGAAATGGGCAAACAATCGGACAGAAGATCGCTAGTGTGAAGGAGATCACAACGGAGTTTGAGTCTCAAGGACCTGGAAAGTTGAACGAGGTGAAGACTCTGAGCGAACAAGTGATGGACTCTGTGAGCAACTTGGATTCACAGCAGATAGAAGAGCAAATCAAGTCCGTGGAAAGACGATACGCCGATATAGCGAAAAAACTGCAAAGAAAGGCGCAAGTGTTGGACATGACGGCTCAAGGTATCGAGGCAACTAGGCAAGAGATTGAAGAGAATCGTGACTGGATTCAGCAGAAGAAACAGCAAGCACAGATCTCTGATCCGGTTGGTTTTGATAGCAAGCAGGTGGAGGAGAAGCTTCTTGCTTTGAAGGTAACTCAATCTGGTTAACGAGATTTTTGGACTTTTTTGTTTACTTGAAAGAATTCAGCTTAGAAAATGTTTAATTCAAAAGCTTTCTGCATAAGGAACTTATAAGTCTGTTTAAATATGTGGATCTATTTATGATTACAGTTTATTTTATAAATATAGAAATTCATCATTTTGTTTCATCATGCTCTTTCCAAATTCCTCGTTTCAATTTTTTTCAAATAAATAATTTCTCCTCGCATGTGTAATCTCATTAAAGTACTTATTTATTTAAAAAAATATGATCGTACATTTTTGATCAATTTCAGGCGATGCTGAAGGAAGCAGAAGGGAAACAGATGGTGATCGATACCTTGGAGAAGCGAGTCGGTAACATGCAGAACGAATTAGAGACCAACGAACAACAACAATTGGAAAATGAAACGAAAGCTTTGCGCGGGGAACAATCTCAGCTTTGCACGATCTTGACTGAAGGGATTTCCAGTGCAACGGCAGCGGCCGATGCTCGCCGCAAGTTCGAGGGTGACTTGGAACGAGCACGAGCCTGGATCAAGTCCAAAAGCAATAATTTGAAGAAGCTAAGCGGTTATCTGCCTTTGAAGGCGTCGAAAGTGGAACAGGATATCATTCAGCATGGAGAGCTGGAAGCTGACATCGATTCCTTCAGTGAGAAGGACTTGAACGACATCTTGAAGCAAGGGCATAATTTATTGAAGGAATGTAACGAGGAGGATCGTGCGAAATTGGAAAAGATCTTGGATGAATTGAACAAGGATTACGAAGAACTGAAGAGCGAAGCGCAAGAGAAGCAGGCGGCGCTTGCAGATCTTCTTCAGGGACGAAAAGCGTTCGAAAGTGAAATAGACAAGTGTCAGAGATGGATCAACGAGGCTGAAGTGGCCACGTCTTCGGATCTGAGGACTTCTAGTATCGACATTTTAAGGGAACAGTTGACTAAGGTATGATACATGTACTTAATTATACTTAATTATATCATAACAGACGCAGTAAAAGTTTTTTTTTTCATGATTAGATGCATGGTCTTAAAGATAAAGATCTTCTTTTTACAATAAGTCCTAAAATTTGCTGTACTTTAAACATTAGAGTTGAGCAACGAAATGTTAAGATTATTTGAATTTTTGTTGTTCGACAAAGCATGTTTAAGTAATTGCGATACCTTGATATACCTTCAACTGTTATAATTTCTATATTATTCTAATACAAATTCGCTACATTACTGTTCAGATTATAATCTCACATTCTTATATTATTCTAATATTCCTTCAGTACGATCGTCTAAAGAAAGAGGCAAAGGAGTACGCGGACGACATTGAGAAGCTGATACAGCAAGGAAAATCGATTCTGCCGACCGTGAGCGACGCTGACAAACTCGAGCTAAACGAGCAGCTACAAAACATGAAAGAGGCTCACGGTAGAATAGCTGGTATCATAAGTGAAAGAGCTTTGGCACTTCAAAAGAGTATCGACGAAGCCGAGGAATCATTGGCCAGAGTCGCCGAAGCCGTTCAATACATGACAGACGTGCAGAAAGAACTTCACGAGCTTAATAAACCGATTGGTGCTCGCGTCGAAGACGTGGAAGCTATGTTGGATGCTTACGAGAGGATCCTAAACGACCTGAAAGCAAACAAGGCGAAACTATCCGATCTCCAGTCGGTCAACGTAGCCGATCTTCACGGAGTACTGACTCAGCAGGACGACCTCATAAAGGCTATAGAATCGCAAATAGCGAAACTTCGCCAGTTACTTCTGTTACGACAACATTTCATCGCTTTGATCACCGAAATTACGACCTTTATCGCTAAATATACGGAGATCGTTCGAGACATCGAAAACTCTGGCCAGACTATAGAAGAAAAGATTAAGAGGTACTTTCGCTTCGTATTATTTATCAATCTATTAGGGTTCAACGTTCTTCATCAACCTGTACTATTAAATTCAGCTTAAATCATAAATTAATCAAGCTTTGTCTCAAGTGTTTTGGAGTATCAAGTATTTATTTTTAGTATATATTTATTCAAGTATTTATACTTATGTATTTCGTTTTTTTAGCATTTTTTGAAGTATTTTATTAAGCTTCTCAAGAACTCCTCTAACTAACTCACAGATCGTAGAAATTCCTTTTCTATCTTTAATCAATGTGCCAGGCTTCTACAAAATATGTTTTGCAACTTTTATTTAAATATCTTAACTAGCATATAGAACTTCATAATTGAACACTTCTGTCCTTGATTTTCATTCAGATACGACGACGCCATTCTAAAGATCCAAGAATGCGAAGCTACCCTCGCAAGTGCCACGGACAAGGGCCAGCAGATCGCTGCAGAGGGTTCGACCGCTGATAGAAACAACATAACAGAACAGTTACAATCGTTGAAACAACAACTGCAAGGCCTGAGAAGAGCCGTGGAAACACAGAGGGAGCAACACGAATTAGCTGCGGCGGAACACAAGAGACTCGCGAATGAGCTGGCTGAGATTCTTGATTGGTTGGAAGATAAAGAGAAAGAAGTGAAATCCAGGCCTCTTCTAGAGAGGGATCCAACCAGCGTGGAGGCCGAGTTGAAGAATCATAATGAATTGTGCGAGGCTGTCAATGAACATCTCGAGAGAATCAGAAACTTGAAGAACTCGGTGCCACACGAGGAAGGGATGCCTGGATCATTGAAAGAAATGCTCAGCGAGGCAGTGTCGCTGCTGACCTCCTTGCCAAGAGAGATGGAGGAACGTGGAAATTATTTGGAGAGTAACATGAAACTCAGGCAGGAGTACGCCGCTCTTACTGAGAAGCTTCAAAGTTGGGTTCGCGAGGCGGAGGTTCGGCTTGAGAGCGACAAAGATGGACTCGATTTCGAGAATATTCTGAGCGATCTCGAGGAGCACAAGGTTTGTATATCGTCGATCAAGTTGATTGAAATTTTATAGCAAGGTCGTGAGTGTTCTGCAAGTTTTGGAAACTTCGAAAATTTTAAAAGTCATAAAAATTTTAAGAAGATTTTGGACAAATTTTGGAAATCACATTTGGAAGTTGTGATTCGAAATTCATCGGAATAAAACAAAATAGAATTTCCATTAATAAGCTTAAATAAACAAAATCAATATCGAATTGTAGTTAAGATGATTTTAATTTTGTCTGAAATATTTCCACAGATTTACTTCAGTAGTGAGCCAACAATTCGCGAGCTGGTTTCCCAGCAGATACAACAGGCAGGCGACAAAATTTGGCCGTCGCTGACCACGTCCGAGCAGGAAGAACTGAGCGCGGAACAACAGCAGCACACTCAATTATTGAAGAACACGTTAAACACCGCGAAATCTCAACGCGCCAGATTGGAACAAGGCGCTGAAACCTGGAGGGACTACACGCAAACCCTCGAGCGAGTTCGAGCTGTTATCGCGAGGAGCAGATTCACTGACGAGCCTGTCACGACTCTGGCTGGATTGCAATTTAACATCCAGAAGATCACGCACGCGCTCAATGATATACAGGTTAGTCGATAATTGCGATATTCATTCGTCGTGGTGATTTACAATTACATTACTGATTAATATTTATTTTCTAACAAATGACAAAATTATTATTTCTTTGCGTAAGTAGAAAAGAAATTAATTCTTATTTCTTGGTTATTACAGAATCAGCAGTACGAATTAGACCTTTTGAACGAACGCAGTCGCGAGGTGCTTCGATTGGCTGACAGTAATAACAAGAAGACGATAGAAGCACAAATCTCTGAGATCAGCACGGAATGGAAAGAATTGATTTCTGGATTAGAAGGTCGCAGAGACGCTCTCGAGGCGCTTTCCAAGCATTGGGAAGATCTGGAGGCGCAATGGTCCGCGATTGAAACTCGCGTAAATGTCATTGAAGAGAAGAGCAAACTACTAGACACCGTAGTTCGGTCTAAGCAACATTTGAAAGACACCATCAAGGCTTTGCACGTAAGTATAATGTTTGTCTAATAATCGAGGAAGAATAATAAAAGGGAAACTATCTTAGTATTATGGAATTTCATATTAAAATTTGATTTATTTCATTTTATATATTCATATAATATTTCATGTATAAATTCGATTTTTTTTTTTTTTTTGTAAAAATACTTGAATTGTTAATAGCTAATGATTATCTTTAATGTGTATAGGAGTTGGTAGCGGAAGCCGAGAAGCTGAAACCAATGACAGCGGAAGTGAAAGATCTGTCAGGGCCTGTTTTAGCGTACCTGGCAGCCTTCACAGAGGCGCCAGCGCATGCTCTCGAGGAGAAGTTGAATAAGCTGCAGAATTCCGTCGAATCGTGAGTCAAAATTGCCGTTTCATTATGATGTTTCAGAAGCACTGCCAAAGACACTGTATCGGTGTCGCCAAAGGATATTCTATCCGCGAACGTGTTTCTCCTGAAATCGAAATTTATATATAAACACTGATGACGTTTCGCATTCCATTCTTCTTTCCGTCCTATCTTATTTTTCGTAACTATTTCGTATTTATTAGAACATAGTTTTATACAGATCCATCGTTCATTCGTCAATTTATAACTTTCTATTCTTAGTTCAAGATTTACACGTAGAAGATTTTGGTTAAAAATCTGTATACGTTTCACATGATTTTAGATTCTTTATTTCAGTTTTCAATTATTTTTTTTCTTTTTCTTTACTTTTAGCTTCAAGTTTAAATTTTCTTCAAGATTAAATTTTCTTTCAAAGGAGAATTATCCGAATATTCCGTCCAATTGCGGAATCAACAGAGGATAATCGTGCGGTGCGATTGTGTGCGATGCATGTGCATGCGTGTATATGTGTGATGTCTGCTTGTGCATATTACCCTCCCCTTGAAAGGGGTAGGTAATGTCTGCTTCCCACCATTCCTTCACATATTTTGTTCACAGGCAATCTTCGCATCGAATATCGATATATTATTTAATCATATAAGCCATATAATATGTTATATTCTTGCAATTCTTTTTTGACATCGTATTCTTTTCAGGATAACTTATTTGTAGCCACCAACCGTTTACTATTAATTTAATATTAATTCGCGAATTTGAGTTTCTGCGTTAAAAGTTCGTTCATCTTGCGCACGCTGTTCTGTTTCTCTCAAGATAAATATATGAACATCGAGGAATCGATTTCGAAATGTTAATTCAAGGCACTTCTGTTGAAGTGATAAATTAAAAAATAGGAGAAATAAAGGAGAAAGGGAAAAAATCGGAGAAATAAAGAAACGACGTTGAAAGAAAGGAAATGACAAGAATTGTGGTTTCTTCGGTAGAAGTAGATTCTTTATGGATTACAACATGTATCGATTTAGCATGCATTACGTGTCCTGCTGCATTCCATCATATCCAAATTAATCCTATGACGTAATTAAGCCTTGTGAATAGTTGCACACCGCGTGTCGCGATGTGTGCTGCGTCACAAAATTAATATCCAAAAACAAATATAAAATAAGCTGGCCGAAAATGTTGATCTTATCCGATTAATATTTCATCCAGTCCATAGACTTTTGAAAGAAAACTTCATTGGTTATTTCGATTAAGAATGAAAAAAAAAAAATGTGACTCATGACTATTTATTATCTGAATCAGTCAACTTTATTAGTATTTTTATGCTTCATTTTTATCGTTAGTTTATCTTCATTCATAAAATTTGAAGGACAGAATCTTCTGCAGATTTCTACATATAAATTCATTTGAGGCCTGATAAAAAATTTTTTTTATGTAAAAGATGAAGATCCGAGATACCTATCATCATATGCAAATTCAGAGTTTCGTGAACATTACCAAAACTTTTCAAACAGATATTCGTTTCATCCTGAGAATATTAATTAAATTGCTTCGAATATTGATTAAATTTTATTGACTAGTTTACTTTAGATGTCTCTGTATCTACAAACAAATATTTAAAAAATCGACTTCTGAGATTATAAATTAGATTTCTGATAATTATTCCATTAAAAACAATTAAAAAGAAATAACGCAAATGGTACAAACGTAGGATTTTTACGCATTATAAAATTTTTATGAATAACGAAATGGGACTTAAATAGAAATAACTTGTTTTACCTATTATTACGACGAATGTTGAAGTAAATTAAATTGCTTTACCTGTGTCATGACAAATACTTTATTTCATACATTTTACATATTTCCGTACATTAAACATCGCGTGCATCTTTCCATTTTAAATAAACGCTTAGAAATCCGCAGTCTACAAATCACATACATCTGTTTACACGTGTCAATTTCTCGTGTGTGGATCAAGCCACCCACTTCAGTCTCATCACGACCACGGCAAAATCTATTTCCACCAATACTGTTTGTAAACACGTTTCAATAGATTGCGCAACTGATTGCGTTTCCCCGAGTAATTCGCACGACGACGTCGCCGTCGGGTCATTAATCGGGCGATGTTAGGTAATCCGTGGCTCTCCGCATTTCCATCGATTCGAGGATCGCAACGTAGGGCGAAGAAGACGAGAGGGAAGAGAGAAAGAGAGAGAGAGAGACAGAGAGAGAGAGAGAGAGAGAGAG